AGCAATATTTAGGGCAGTTATGGTTTGACACGCCTAAGCATAACACAACTGCATATACTACCTGCAGAATTTCACCTGTTAAAGTCAAAGGGAGATCTGCTGCTTACTTCAGCAAGAGCAAGATTTTACCTATGAAGCCTAGGATTACATAAATTGAATTTTCATCTCAAATATGATATACACCTGAAATGTATTCTTTCAGATTTCTGAACTGCTTCCTGTAAGATGAGTCTTTTTAGAAGCATCACGTTGACCTTAAATTGTCAGGACATTTAGGTTCAATAGTGAAACTGTAAATTTACTCAAATACTTTAGCATAACAAAGACAAATGAAATTCCCTGCTATGTAGCAAACCTCCCTGGCCAGTGGGACTTAAAACCATGCATATTTCAGAATAATCACTTATGGAATGTCTTAGCATTGCCAAACTGTATTAATTTCTATATATCAATGTACGACAGATACTTCGCAAAAAAACATAGTTTATCTTCCAGGAAAGAGGGAGATAAGATGTCTGGTGCCTGTGGTATGTGTGTGAGTACAGATTTACACACATAGAAAGCTTGCTGAACCTCATGAGGTTTAACAAGGCCAAGTGCAAGGTCCTGCACCTGGGTCGGGGCAACCCCCGGTATCAATACAGGCTGGGGGATGAAGGCATTGAGAGCAGCCCTGCCGAGAAGGACTTGGGGGTACTGGGGGGTGAAAAGCTGGCCATGAGCCAGCAATGTGCGCTTGCAGCCCAGAAGGCCAATCGTATCCTGGGCTGCATCAAAAGAAGCGTGGCCAGCAGGTCGAGGGAGGGGATTCTGCCCCTCTACTCTGCTCTGGTGAGACCCCACCTGGAGTACTGCGTCCAGCTCTGGAGCCCTCAGCATAAGAAAGACAGGGACCTGTTGGAGCGGGTCCAGAGGAGGGCCACGAAAATGATCAGAGGGATGGAACACCTCTCCTGTGAAGAAAGGCTGAGAGGGTTGGGGTTGTTCAGCCTAGAGAAGAGAAGGCTCCGGGGAGACCTTACTGCAGCCTCTCAGTACTTAAAGGGGGCTTATAAAAAAGATGGCGGCAAACTTTTTAGCAGGGCCTGTTGCGACAGAACAAGGGGGAATGGCTTTAAACTAAAGGGGGGCAGATTTAGACTAGATAGAAGGAAGAAATTGTTTATGCTGAGGGTGGTGAAGCACTGGCACAGGTTGCCCACCAGAGAGGTGGTGGATGCCCCATCCCTGGAACCATTCAAGGTCAGGTTGGACGGGGCTCTGAGCCACCTGATCTAGTTGAAGATGTCCCTGCCCACGGCAGGGGGGTTGGACTAGATGACCTTTAAAGGTGCCTTCCAACCCAAACTATTCTATGGTTCTATGATTTGTGGTTCCAAAGGGTCTTAACTATGAGACAGCACACTATCAAAATCAGGAGGCGTTCTGCCATTTGGCTGTCAAAGCTCAGACTCCGCTACTGAAGCGGCCAGCAGCCCAGCAAGAAAAGCCCTAAAGAAGCAATTCTTGAGACCCATGATTTTGGTACCCCTAAATTACTTCCAAGGTTAATTCCTTTCTGGTCAGCTGCTTCTGGTCTCCCAGAAGTTAATACAGCAATGCGGACATCACCAAGCTGAGCTCCATGCACTGAGAGAGCAGTGACTGAATAGTTTTCAAATGCACAATACCAGCTGTGTGCTTAAAACATTTATTTTAACATGCATTATTAGATTTTAAAAGCATGGAAGGATCGAGGTACTCTAGTCTGTATAAATGTATGTGTACAGATATGTCAGTAAACATGTTTTGAGTACAGATCAGAGATTGGCTATGAAGAGTACAGGAATTATTATTTTTTTTTTTTTAATTACACCTATTATGCTATGAAACTGTAAGACCTCGCTACAAAGGCAATCCCATCCCCACTTCTGAGGGATCTTGACAAACTCTGTAAAATTTAAAATTAATTGATGCAGGCATTTACATGAGGTCCACTGAGCTCAACTAACCCAGAACTTGGTTGGAGATTACTGCATACACAGATTTGCACAAGGATGAATTTAGTCTTCCTCCCCCAACAACCGCAAACTATTACAGCCGAATAGCTAGGACACATTTTTCTGTGCATGAGTGTAGCAATTCCAAAGGAAACTTGAGAACTGGGAAATGTATGACAATATTTTTAATAAGCAATTAAGGAGTGTGCTGCTGGAACCCAAACTGCTTGCCTTTACAATGGAGAACTGAATGGACACTTCTGCTCAAGAATATGCTAGCACGTAAGGCAATCACACACTTTCAAGAGTGAACAGATGAACCTTTGGCCCTGCTAAAACCTAATAAGCCCCACAGTCAAAAACAGAGAGGAAATTATGAATTTGCTGGAATTGGTTTCAGCAATTACAGGACAAGGGTGGGCAGTGACTGGCACAGGAGCCACTATTAAGACTATTCTCCAACTTTCCTTTTTTAAATAAAGGAGAAAAAGTTGGGAAGTCAGAGCCAAGAGAAAGGGTGAAGTAGCTACAGATATCCTGGGGCAAGCACTTTACTTCCAAATGTTTATTCAGTGCATTAAAAATAAATTCAAGACTGCTTGCAGGAAGGCCTTCTCAGACCTCTGGCACGCTGTTTCCAAAGCTCAGGTCTTAATTAAAGATCAACTCTGAAAAAGGATGTTTCCAGCTTTTGAAATCCACAGAACCCAAAGTTTATCCTGGCATAATGATCAGGCCACCTACAGAGACAGCACTAGAGTCTTCATAAGTATTCCTACATGCAGGAAAACTACTCTTCCTTCAGAAGCCAAGTGCTTGAGCCCATTACTAAGCAAGAAAGAGCTCTTACAAACTGATCCCAAGTGCACCTTCTGTAGGAAGTAGGCATCTATTTCAGTGGAACAAGAGAGCCAGCAAAAATTAGTTTACATGCGTTTTTCCTGTTACCTGAGGGGAAAAAAAAAGCTGGTTATATTATAGAGCCTGCTATAGAAAACATGCAGACCCAGTAGCCTTCAGAAGCAGTGGACAAGGAAGAACTTAACACTAAAAGGCGGGAGAAACCGCTACGTGGGAAGAAAACAGAAGAAAACAAAATCAATTCACAGTTGTTCAGAGGGACCCCAGGGTTCTCAGCAAATTGTCTCAAGGCAGAATCTCACCTTGATCCTTGGTGGCAAGTAGTGTGAGAACACAAGTGGCTTTTCCCTCAGCCAGGGCATTAATTTGGTTAACTTAACCTAGACAGTTATGTTTTGTGGGAAACACTGTATCTCTGAAACCTCTCAAATTTGGCTGAAATTCATCAGACAGGCAAAACAGGCAAATACAGAAAGAGGGTGGAGGATGAAAAAAAAAAAAGTACAAGCTCTTAAGTTTCATTTCCTTAGGAAACAGGCTTTAAAAAAAAAATAGAAAAACCCCACATGCAATAAAGTTAAGAAATACAAGAAATAGTGACCTAAATTTCACTTTCCTAGCTAAAGAGTACATTAGATATTTAACAGCTGAACCTAACAAAGGCAGGCATGCAATAGTTCTGGTGGAAAAAAAAAAGAATCAAAAGTTATATATTATTTACTAAAGGTAGTGGTGGAAGAAAGATAAGATAACAGTGACGGCAAGACTGCTCTTGTATAAAATAGTCCACGGTCTCCCACTATGGAGAAACATATTTTGTCACCATTACAAATTCTAACAACAAAGAGCCCAACCCCGACTGCATTTGGGCAACGACTGGGACGGGAGCCTGAGAGGACCAGGCTGTGGGGGCAGCAGCTGAGGAGCCGCTCCAATGTCAGACAGCTCTAAACCTTCTTCCCCAAAGCAAAGTGCATTACTTGCTTCTTTCCTCATTCCCAGGCTATGCAACCTCCATCTCAGCCGCTTTTACTTCCTTTCTCACCTTTCTTTGTCAAAATATAAGCTACACTAACTTAGGCCAGAAAGGATCAGGTGGTCTTTCTGACACACGCTTCCTATCTGCTCACACATTGCTTTGCATTTTGACTTAGCGCACATTATTCCACTTGAAAGTTTAAACATATTCCACTTATCCTATTAAACTCTGCCCTGTAACACTCCATCCTAACTCTGATCTCACAAACTTGGATATTCTTTCCTAAGCCTAATTAACTTCACTCTAGATTCTAAGTTTGCTGAGCACCCAAGACAAAATTGTTGTTTTCCTTTGATCCATTCCTCTGACTTGCCACACCATGCACAATGAAAATAAGAGAATCAAGCCATTTGAGAAAAACACGCAATTTTTGAAGGAGTAACACCTTAAATCCAATTGCAATATTCTCAGTTACATCAACATCCTTTAAAAAACGTGAGTAACGTAAAGGGCCTTCAAAAGTGGGTGAGAATAAACACTACCAATCAACAACAGGTGCTAGAAGTCTCATTTTCCAACCCTCTTTCTTTATAAATCCCTCATTATTTACGGTTCAAAAGCTCAAATTACACTAATGAAAGTTATAAAGTGATTGCAGGTCACCTGAGTTGTAAACTGAAAGGCATTACTGAAAACATCAGGGGCTGGGACAGGCCATGAGTGTGCACACAGATAGTTACTATGGTTCAGCCTGATGCACAAGAACTCAGGACATTAGATAAGGTAAACTTGGCCTGAGCTCTCAGATCAGCTGAACTAGTTATATCTAGGAGATACAAACATACATATCTTTGAAGGCTTTGGGCCAGGACACTCGGTACCTTGCAACATCAGGCCACCTTCTGAAAGACTATCTGTGTCATAGCTCATTTCATCAAATCGCTCAGACTAATCAGAAGTACTGGCTGGAGCCGGCTACACACGCACAAATGCTTACCAAACTGATGAAATCTGTAATTAATTTTTGCAAATGTTTTACTTGGTTTATATTTTTCTAATATCCCTTCCTCATTTACTGTGCAAAATTAAACAATTCCAGAGTGTGTGTAATTTCAGTTTAAACGCACCTACGGAATTTAAGACTATGCTGCTCCTACCTAGACCTACTGGTCACTGGAACTTGATATCCTTTCTCAGCTTCTGAAAAGAAATTAATATAGCAACTTTGTATTTAAGAGATAATAAAAATGCATAGCATATAGTTATATTTTAATGATCACAATAAGAATATAAAACAGCCCTTCTTTCAATATCTCTCTCTAATACAGAACTGTTGCTTGTGAAAGGGGCAGCCTTTTGGAAATTCAATTTGGAGACCATGTCTTATTAGAGAGAACATCATGCAATAAGGTAAACGCTGTTCTTTCCCCCACAAATGCATCTGACACAGTACAGAAGATTTTTCTCTGAAAGTTGTACACATAAAGAAGACATGGTGCTATACAAATGAGCATTTGTGTTCTGCCCAATTAATTCCCAGATCTTGAATTCTACTTCAAAAGGAGGGAGAAAATCTGCAAAATCCCAGGGAATCAATGGTGCGCGGTCTTCTTGATTCCCTGAGGCTCTTCACTAACATTGCTCTATTGGAATCACTTAACAGTCAAATATCCACAAACAGAAGAAAGCTGCCTTCAAAGACAAGAAGTTTGGGGGGATTTTTGTTTTCTTTGACACAAAACCATGACGCTTTACTCGTGGACGGAAGAATCTAGCAGAATCCCATTTACTCACCTAAGCTTCAGGTCAGCACCCAAGGTAACCTTTTTTTTAACACAGAAAATCAGCTGAGGTAATAAAAATAGCCAGTAT